ACTTTCCAAGATTAAATCGAGCCTTATTGTGTCCAATCTCTGCGACTCTTAAATACCATTTAAATACTTCATCATTATTCCTTCTCCATATTCATAGCATTGTCCAAGTAGAAAATAGAAATTAAGTATTACATTATTAGATGTGTCTAAAAGAGCTGTGAACAAATTATTTTCCAGATCTTATGATAACACATATCAAGAGTACATTGTCCTTCAGTATTTCCACTCTCTGCCAATTTCAAATACCACTCAAATACGTTTTTCTCATCTTTTTGTGTTTCGATTCTATTTCGGTAACAAATGCAAAATTATTTTGTCTTCATGTATCTCCCCCCTCTGCTGATTTCAAGTACCACTTAAATGCATTTTTCTCATCTTTTAATGTTCCGATTCCACCACGATAACACCAACAAGATTACATTATCCTCTAATATTTCCACCCTCTGCTGATTTCAAATACCACCCAAATGCTTTTTTCTCATCTTTTTGTGTTCTGATTCCATTTTGATAACACCAACCAAGATTACTTTGCGCACCAGGATCTCTTGACTCTACTGCTTTCAAGAACCACTCGGATGCATTTTGTTCATCTTCGATTGTTCCTATTCCATTTTAGCAATAATCAAGTTTATCTCGTGCTTTAAGGTGCCTTAATTCTGCTCTGTAACAAATGTAGATTTTCTTCTTGATCCGAAAATATTGCTACAGAACCAGAGTTGTCTTCATTTAAAGTGCATCTATTGCTGGTGTGGATGTCAAAATTCAATCCATTTGATCATTTCTTGCATCATCGTCATTATTATCCTCGAAATACCTTTCTTTCGTTTTGATTACTTTTGACGAATATGTATTATCATTTGTTGATAGAATAAATAAAGATGAAGTTGGTGAAATCATACCTATTTCTTTGAATTCGTTGTTTATTGATTTTGTATTATATTCATGCACAGACAAAAGTTTGGAATCTGGAGATCGACATAAATAATGGAGTGACTTGCATCGTTATTTGTGCAACACACAAAAGTCACAATTTTAACGTTCAATAGCTCTTTAGGAGCTTAAATAGTAAACTTTAAACGACGTAAAAACATATGTCAAACCCAACCAACATTCGCAGGAAGTACCAACTTACGGATTTTGAGCGTGGCGAGATAATCGGTGCTTGAAAGTGTGATTTTTCCGGAAAAGAAATTCTAGGACGTCATACAAAAATAGACCTAACCACAGACGCGATAATCCACGAATATTAAATGCTAGAGCTAACTCGAAGAATAATTAAAATTGTAAAGAAACTGACAACAAGCAATTGACGAATCACAGAAAATTCAACACTTTTTTGGAAATTTTGGTTAGTTCTAAAACCATACGTCATAATCCTTATGAAAACGGGTTTTTTGGTCGAGCTGGTCTAAAAAAACCTTTATATCCGAGAAAAACAGTTAAAAACGATTAAAATGGTGTCTAGAACGAAAAGATTGGGTTCTTGAATGAGAATTAGTAAATTTGGAGTGATGAATTAAGCTATTTAATATTCAGAAATGATTCACGCAATGGTTTTGCGTCGACCCGTGAAAAATGTGACGTTGATTGCCGTCATCGCTTTCATCTGGACCGTATTGTAACGTAATAAAGCTTTATTAAAATAGATTTTCATTTACAACTGAGCTCGTTTCATAAATAACTTAATATAATTCAGATTTTTCTAAACACTCATTATTATTATTATCAGTTTCGTAAATTCTGTCGTTAGTAGTGCTATCAGTGTTATCGTCGAGCTCACAAAGAATACCGTTAACATCATCTAAAAGTCGAGTTAAATATTCATTTTGAGATTTTAAAATAAGATTATCTTTTCTCAGTAGAGCTATTTCTTTTTTTAAAGTAGGTACCAAATTTTTGTGATGGTAATGACGCTTATAATTATGAGATATTGTCGTGATTTTTCTATCACGAATGAGCAAAGGATTGTCTTGGTGTCTCAAGTTAGAGATATTTGTGTTTTTTGAAGAATCAGTCGGGTTAATCGATAATATATTTGATGAAGGTGTGTAAATTTCTTTATTTTTATCTGTATTCAAGCTGTAATTATCAAGTAATATCGATCCATTATCGAAATCAATAGACTTTCTCCAATTTTCATTCATAAGTTCTTTCTTTTTTTGTTTTTCTTCCGTTGTCATTTCTTCATATTTTCGAATCTTTCGTTGGCTTATCAATTGTTTACTGTCGTAAATGTCATTTTCCCAGCAAAAAAACGAACACCGATTTTTATCCTCGCTTGTATTAAATTTTGAACACGCAAAAAATAGCCGTTTGTTCTCCTGATTTTGGTTCGAGGCGACCATCAATTTTGCATTTTGTCCGCAATAACACTTCAGAGAAGAATTATCAGAAGAAGATTGGTTGTTTGAAGGGGACTTTGACATGTCTTGTTTAGTAAAAGAGTCTGATAATCGAGTGGTTATTAGGTTACTCGTTTGTTTAAATTTTTCTTGTTTTCGCTGTTGTTGATACTTAAACTCCATTATTGTGAGGTAAATTGAAAGGAAAGTTTAATGATGAAGTATTTAAATGGTATTTAAGAGTCGCAGAGATTGGACACAATAAGGCTCGATTTAATCTTGGAAAGT